TACGCTCCATGTGGCATACACGGCCCTCCCAAACTTGGCCCCAGGCTAACCTCATCCTGCCACTTCCACTTAACAACAGACCTCCGCTTCTCAACTCTCCGGGCCCTCCCAGGGCCCTCTGCATCTCAGCTGCTGCTCTGCCATCAGGAGTGGCCAGCCTCCTCTTTGCCCTTTGGCTAACTCTCCAAGACAACCAGGGGCTTTGGGTTCTGTGGCTCCCCTATGCCACCTCTTCCCCTGTAAAACTTAACCATCCCTCCTACTAGAGTGTACTCAAGGGCAGGGGCTGGTCTTCCCTATCTTTATGTGCTCAGGGTCTGGCATAATGCCTGACACAAAATAGATGTTTAATACATGTTTGCTGGATGAGAGAAGAAATCAGCCGGCGCCTGTGTAGATGGTTGTATCTGAATGTCCATGATATGTGGGTCCATAAAATGACCAACTTCCCAAAGCTGTCATGTGCAGAGTGGCGGCATTTCTGTCCAAGAAGGCCAATGCAGTCTATGAGGCATTTTACAGCTAAGACAGGAAATAGCAATGTCAGCAGTGGTGTCATCTTTGGACACGAAGGACAGGGATTCAGTGCCATGAACGGTCAGTTAAATTGTAATTGGAGTGAACTGTTCCTCTGCAAACCATAATGTTCTTTAGCTGCAGCCAAATGGCGTTCAAGAAAGGGAGGCGTTTTTTATTTTTTTTTTGAAATGTCAGAGAAATTATTTCCAACTTGGTGCTCACAACCAGAGGCTCTAATGATCAGTGGAAATGAGAAGCAAACAAATTAGCACTAATGGAAAATGGCTTTTGGAAAAGAGGATTTAATTTATAGTCAACTGGTCATGGCATGCAGCATGCAGTAAAAGTCGGCTTCACCAGCTTGATCATCAGAACTGGAGCACACATGGAATGCCAGAGAAAAATATATGGATGCCATCGTGCTTATTGGACTCTCTCTGTAAGTGGCAGCCAATTAAAATAGTCATTATTTTACCTTGGAGAGAAAATGGTCTGAATAATCAAAGCACATGAAATTAAAATCCGGATTAGGAACCTCGGTCCAAATTGGTTTGTTTGTGGCCTTCTGACCTTGGCAAGATCTTCTGCAAGGATGACAAACCTACTTTGTCTTCAGCCCAGAGTGGACTCTGTTTTTAATTTCCTTTCCATCTTCAGAGGTGATTAATAAATCTGGACCCATCTATAAATCATTTCTATAGCAGCCAAATGGTACTCTTTCATGCAGGCAAACTAAAATTATAGAATCTCAAAATCTCAGCTCTTAAGCCAAAGGTCCTTAGCAACGAGCAAGAAGAGGTATTATAAAATCAGGTCTTGTTTCTAAAAAAAAATTTCTCTCCTCCCCACTTCCCCAGATCAAAAGACATGTTTCTGAAAGCAAGAAGCCTGCAGGGCACGGGCTGCCAGCCTGGCTCACTGTCCCCAGATGGCCTTGGAAACAAGGCAGTCACTGTGGCCATTGCTGCAAGTTTCACCTACAGAATGGGACCGAGGCATCTTCCTTGGCTCCCACTCCCACTCCTCACTCAGCTCCTCATTCAGGGAGAGAGAGAAGGGAGGAGGCAAGGAGGGAGAGGAAGACAGAAATAAAGAAACATTCTTCTTCCAAACTTCAGCCTGAGCTAAGGAGAGTGTGCCCTGGTTCTTACTTCCACCCCAGGGCAAATGCATTACAACATCACTTCCTTCTCACAGACTCCCTACCTTCTGCTCCTGACTCACACCCTCCTTACAGACCCCTCTTGGTAATTTCTTCTCCACAGCTGCCTTTCCTTCCATCCTCTCCTCATAGACAAACCTCCTCCCCATCTCCTTCCTGCAAAACCCTCTGCCTTCATCCTCTCCCCAGACCTACCCTCATTTTCCAACCAGATCTGACTTTTCCTCTCCACAAGTCTCACTTCTGCCCTCACGCTCTCCCCAAATATAACTCTTTAGGTCAACCACAACCCCTCACCCACAGTCTCCTCATCCTTTCATTGCTCTATGCTTCATCTTGCTTGACTTGATTTCCTACCTTTGCTTCCCTTCCCAACCTTGCTCTGCCCTTGGAAATCTTTGTCCCTGATCAGGAATGTCTCCTCCGCTCTGAGCCTCCCCACAGTCTCTCTGCCTCTCCAGCCCAAAAATCTGCCTCTGTTCAGGAGTGCCACTTCTGCATGCCCTCCCTGGGTTCTCATCCCCCAAGGACGTCAGGGTTGAGAGGGGGACTAGTGTCTCCTCACCGAAGCCCAGCCCAGCTCCTTATTCCATCACCTTCATCACCTTCTTTAAAACTTTTGCTGAGGGTCATGCCATGCAGCTGTATTGACCTTTATCCCTCCTCATGCTGTTCATCTACAGATTCCAGAACAACCCACTTCATTCAAGGACTTCGGTACCTAGTTCACAGGCATCCTCTTCCCTTTCCCCTTAAGTCCTGCCATCATCCAGGAAGATTTTAATGGTCATGTCTACACCCTGAATGTCTTTTGTATTTCAGCCATCCACTCCTATGGCCACATCCTGGACCTTGTCATCACTTGGATCTAATCCAATGTCATCACTCCACTTTCTTTTTTAAAAATAAGACTTAAAAAAAGAAAAAAAAATAAGTATATATATTATTTTCCTGTATTTTATTAAGCTGCACCATGTGTTTTGAGAATCTATAAACATGTATTTATTGATTTCGGAGAGGGAGAGCGAGATAGAAACACCAGTGATGAGAATCATTGATCAGCTGCCTCCTGCAGACCCTCTCCTGGGGATCGAGCCTGCAACCCGGGCATGTGCCCTGATTGGGAATGGAACCTGCAACCTTTTGGTTTACAGGCTGACACACTAACCACTGAGCAGCACAGGCCAGGGCTCATGCCACCTAAGTGAATTTCTCCACCAGTGCTTTGGATTCCTTATGTTATTTTTCTTCCAGGAATGCCACTTTCTCAGTTATCTCTCTTTCTCTATAAGTTTTTTTCCTTTATCTGGATCCATGCCAACAGCATTTCTCCCATCTGAATAAAAAACTTGTGTGTCCTTCCAGCTATTGCCATCTTTCTTTTTTCTCCTAAGAAGCTAACCATCTTGAAAGTGTATTTGTTACATGCAATCTTTGCTTTCTCATTTTCCCACCTACTTCTCAGCTCACTGTAATTTGACCTCTGCTTCCAGCACCAACAACTTCCTTGTTTCTAAATCCAGTGGATTTTTTCAGACCTTATTTTATTAGTCATCAGCCTTCAACACTTTCCTCTGGGGGCTTCTGATATATCACATTCTACTTCTGAGTATCTTACCGTTCTGGACACTTCATCTCAGTTGCCTTTGCAGATTCACTCCCCTTTGTCCTCAGGCTTCAGTGCTTCTTAGCGATCTGTCCTCAGCCCTCTTCTCTCCTGATTCTACACATGCTCTCTGGGCCAGTCAATCCACTGGTGTGGCAGCCATCTGTAAGGCAGTACCGACTGCCACCTTTCTATTTCCAGTTCTGACTTATCTTGCAAACTCCAGTCAGGCATTCATACTCAACTGCCTCCTGGACACTTCCACCTGGATGTCCCACAGGCACCTCAAATTTTGCCAGGCCCAGAACGTACCCTCTCCTAAAAACTCTGCTTCCTTTCCTTTCTGCTTTGCCCAAGCTAGAATTTCAGAAATCATCCTTCCTTTCTCCTACTTGCCTCACCAGCCACCATGTCCAGTTCTTTTGAGCTCTTAAGTGTCTAAGGAATCCATCCCCTCCCTCTTCATTCCTGAAACCTTTCCATGCTTTACGACATCGTAATCCGTCCCCATTGTTGAAACAATTTCCTAACTCGTCTCCCTCCTCCCAATCCCCAACCCATCCTCCACACTGATCTTTCTAAACCACAAACATGACTGTTACCCTTCTGCCAAAGCCCTGCAGTGACTCCCCCCTGTTCTTAGGATAAGCTCTTGCACTCAACAGGAAACACACTGGAAAACTTTTACCATCAGTAAGATTTACCTATAAATTCAAAGCTGAGCTTGGCATCAAAGACCCTCCAGGATGAGCCTAACTGTTCTTCTAAGGTTACTGTCACATTCCTCCTTCCTCTGGCCAGATGCTGATAATTTGTGGCACTCCTCAGTTTGAGTTCTTGTTGAGTCTCCTTTCTCCACAGGTCTTTCAAGGTCCAGCCATCCCCACTGCCATAACATCCCTTCAACACGCTCTGAGCTCACAGAGTTAATTTGGTTAACGAACAGTTTTCCTCCTCCTTTTAAGACTTATGGAGGTCAGGGTCAAAAGCTTAATCCTCACTAGAGCCCACCTACATAATAGGTGCTCCGTATTTGTTAAATCCATGGGTAAATGCAAGAAAACTGTATTATTTAACCCCTTTGTGTCCCCTTCGAATAGAGCATTCTCCAAAGTCTTCCTCTCTTAGTTTTCTCCTACCCACCCCATCAGTCAGAACATGCCTCGCTCCACTGAGCGGAGGATGGGCCGGCACGCGTCCCCTGGGCCGTTTGTACGGTTTTCTACCTCCCGTTGTCGGAGTTGCGATAATAGGGGGTCGTAGAGGTAGCGAGACGAGGTATATCAAAGGCCACTGTTCACCCCGTAGGGGAACAAGCGGGAGAGAAAGGAGACCCCTCTCCACTCCCAGAACAGAGCGACTCTCACGCAGACCCTCTTACCTACACAGGAGGGCGGGGACTCTTTCTGACCGGCGTCCAGGCTGACCAATAACCTAACCCACATCAAGCAAGTCAGCCAATAGCTGCGGACCAGGGTTAGAGCGGGGCGGGGCGTGGTTGCTAAGGGCCGAGCTAGTGGGGCGCGGCCAGAGGCTCCGCGAGAGGCTCGGTGGTTGCTAGGGTGGGAGGTCACAGAGCGCGCTCAGGGATTGGGCGGCGTGGGGCGAGGTGGGCGGTGATTGGGCAGTGTCCGGGAGGCGCCGGGGTGAGGTGCGGGCGCGCGAGCGGGAGTTCCGGCGGCAGGCCCGCGCTGAGGGCCGGCACCGTTCACCATGGCCTCGGCGGAGCTGGACTACATCATTGAGATCCCGGATCAGCCCTGCTGGAGCCGGGGTATGGAATGAGGGTTGGCCCCATCGTGGGGAGGGGACCCCACGAGTCTGTGGGTCGCGAGCGCAGCTGCGGCCCCGCCCCTCGCGGCCCCGCCCCCTTGCGGTCAGCCCCCTCGCAGGGTCCCGCGGGTCTGGGACTCGGTCCGGCTCGGAGAGCTCCGCCCCCTTGTAAGCCCCGCCCCCGGCCACTCAACCTGTCGGAGCCTCTTCCCTTCCCTGCGGTCTCTGCTCTTTTGGGGTCCTTTTTTTGTGTGTGTGTGTCTTTTCAATCGGAGTTTTCAAGGTCACGCTCTCGTTTTTCTCCTGGTAGCTGGAGGCGGGGAGGGCAGGGGCCCTTCTGATTCCTTTGTTTGGGGTCGGGCTTCCCACGTCTAGCCTTTCTGGTTCCGCCCACTATTTCTCCTCCCCCCCCCCCCCCCCCCCCACCGGGGACTTCGCGGAAGCCCGGGACACCCAACCCTCATCTCTTCCTCCTCCCTACTCTCAACTGCTGTGGTCAACGGAGCAGCCCCTGCCCCCTGCCGCCAGAGAGTAGTCGGTTCACATCCTGACCCCTCCCTTGAGTAGCTGGATGCCCTTGGTTAGGCCACCCCCTCCAAACCTCAGTTTCCTCTTCTGCAAAAAGGGCATCCCGGTAGTAATCTCCCTCAAAGGGTGGTTGGTTGCACAACTGGGATTGTTCGTGTGGAGGACCCAGCATAGTGCCTGGAATGGAGTGAGTTCAGTGATCAGCATTATTCTTCTCCCTATAGTCCTCTCGTTAAAGAAAGGTGTGTGAGAGGCTCCCTAAAATGAGTAGCTTGTGGAGTGGGCCTGGGTCCTTGGCCGTGTGAGTAGGATTAGGGGCCCAGAGAATGGAAGGTTGGGCCCTGACTCGGAATTATGGAGGAGGAGCCTTGAAGTACACGCCAGCCTACGCCCGGCATGTCTCTCCCTGCATCGCTCTCCATCGCCTTCATGCCCCCAGTCTCCCTGCCACGCTCAGCCTCGTAGGCAGAGGTTTGATCTTATCACGGCTCTGTGTAAAACCCTTCATTGGCTCCTTATTGCCCTCGGGATAAATCAAGTCCAGATTCCTTAATACGGCTTTCAAAGGCCTTCATGATTTATCAGCCCCTGCTTGCCTCTCTGGTCAGCATGTCCTTCCACTGTTCAATTTGAGCTTTATGTTCTGGCAACCGAACTGTTTGTGATTCTTCACACATTTCTTGCTTCTGCTGTTTCCTGTGTCTGGAATGCCCTTTCCCCTCTGCTGCCCCACACAGCTCCATCACTGTGTCCGGCTCATCATTCAGGGCTCAGCTCAGGTGATGCTTCTTCCTTCAGGAGAAACTTCCTGGACCCCTCCCGTAGCATCTGTGATCCTTGGTTGGGGTCTAAGAGAGGAGGGCAGCCGCTGGGCTCCCACAGAACAAATGGCCGTGGACCAGTTCTATTTCCCTAGAGCTGGGCTCAGGGGCACCTGATCTGTTGGCTTAGGGCTCTTGGGCTAACACAGCGGTTGGCAAACTCATTAGTCAGCAGAGCCAAATATCAACAGTACAACGATTAAAATTTCTTTTGAGAGCCAAATTTTTTAAAACTTAAACTTCTTCTAACGCCACTTCTTCAGAATAGACTCACCCAGGCCGTGGTATTTTGTGGAAGAGTCATACTCAAGGGGCCAAAGAGCCGCCTGTGGCTGGCGAGCCGCAGTTTGCCGACCACGGGGCTAATAGATGTAAAAGTGCTTTTGGAAAGTTTTGACATCAGGGGGAGATGAAGACAGTTAATATTCTTTTTAAAAAAAATATATTTTATTGATTTTTTACAGAGAGGAAGAGAGAGGGATAGAGAGTTAGAAACATCGATGAGAGTATCATTGATCAGCTGCCTCTTGCACACCTCCCACTGAGGATGTGCCCGCCACCCAGATACATGCCCTTCACCGGAATCGAACCCGGGACCCTTCAGTCTGCAGGCTGACGCTCTATTCACTGAGCCAAACCGGTTTCAGCCAGTTAATATTCTTGTCCTTGGAGAGCCTGAAGCTGCATGGCCAGGAAGGCAGAAGTTCTCTTTCAGCCCACATGGCAGCCTGGTGGTCTTAGTTAGTATTTCAGATCTACCTCTTCCTGGATCGGTGGTTTGGCAAGGTGTTGAACCTCTCCGATCCTCAGATTTCTCCCCTGGAAAATGGGAATAATAATAATAATGCCTACTGCAGGGATTGTGAGGGTTAACAGGATAGTGACCGGAAGTGTGTGCCTGACACGTTGTTGGTGTATTTTCTCTGCTTGAGGAGACTGGGTCCTAGAATGGAAAGAAATCTCAGGGGCCCTTTTGTCCTGCATCCTTCTGCTAGCTTGAGGGCATCTGTTCCACCAGACCCTTCCCGGACAGCTTTCTCCCGAACATCCCGGCCTTTGGGATTGTTAGGAAGCCCTTCCCTTTCTTGACCCACCATAGGCCTTCCTGCCGTTTCCTTTCAGTCCAGCATTTTCTGTGTCCTGGCCTCAGAAGTGACTCATCCGCAGACTCCCGCTAGAGAGCTGTGGTTTCGGGAAGGGGTGAGGTTTACAAGCAGCTGGTTTCACAATGATGTAAGTGGAAGGCGAGAGGGTCATGGTGGGTACAACCGTAATTTCTCTTCCTCTCTCAAGAGGACAGCTTCATGCCTTCCTCAAGTTTCTTCTCCCAGGGAGATACCTCCAGGGCCTTCCGCTGACCTGTCTCTGAAGTAGTTCTAACAGCCTCCTTGTGGATACCCCAGAGCTGAGCTGGGGGTTGCAGGAATTCCCAGAAGGAGGAAACAGCACTGTGACCCCCTCAATCCATTTGCTTCCCACCTGCAGAGAGCTCCCCTCCAGGCTGACAGTCTTTGGGGACCCCAGAGATTGTCCTCCAGATTTTGCATTTACTGTTTAATGGTGGAGAAGTGTATAGGACAGTCATATTTGGTTTCTGGAATTGCTTTCCCCCCATATTTGAACATCATGCCGCAGGGCCCAGCGCTGCAGGGAGTTGACAGAGAGGTGAGCAGCTGCTGCTGGCACATCGGTTAGCAGGGAGGCAGCTGCAGACCTGGGTCATTCAGAGCCCAGGCTGGGCAGGCGGCTCAGACCCCTCCTGGGAATCCCACCACGAGTGTACATGGCTGCCAATGCTGAGGGGAGTGTGTCCGGGCCTTTACCGAAGCTATTCCCTTGACCTGGAATCTCTCACAACCCTCCCCTCTTCTTCTCTGACCAGTGATCCCCGGGACCCCCTAAAACCCCATTTTCATCTCATTTCTTTGGGGCAATACCTTGTCCCAGGTTATCCCAGATTTCAGCTCGGGAGCCTCGCTCCTAAGCTTTTGCATCAGCTCTCAGTTGCCATTAGGAAATGTCGCTTGAATACAGTTCCATTTCTAGGAAACAAGTAAGGACATGCACAAAGAAAGAGGTGTCCAATAAAGTTATTTTTATAATAGCAAAAAACCCTGGAAGCATCATGTCTAATAATGGGAGATTGGTCACCATAAATTACATTCTCTAGCTGCTCTGCAGCCACTAAAAAGAATGGTGTAGAAATATATAAACTGACAGGGAGAGATGTTCACAATATATTGCTAAATCGAAGAAAGCAGATTACAAAACAGCATGATTCCAATTTTATTAGATATTCATTTTCTCCTTTTCTACAGCGAGCATGCTTTTCTCCTGAAGTAATAATAATAATTTTGATTTATTGGACTCTTTCTCTATGCCAGGTGCCATGCTTAGCTCTTTATAGTCATTTTCTTACTTAATCCTTTGCATTATTATCCCCATTTCACAGATAAGGAAATGAGAGCTTAGAGAACTCGCTCAAGATCTCCTTCCTAGTTATTAGTGGCAGAGCCAGAGATGTGAACCCAGCGATTGTTTCACATACTACGTACCCTTAGGTACTATGCTGCTCTCCTATGCTGTTATTTCAAAAAGTTAAAAAAGAGTACATTTAAAATAATTTGGTCAAAATATAGGAACTCTGAGACTCTAGAAAATATTTCTGGGCAGGAGACAATTTGGGTGTCCTTTTATTCTTCACGTTTAAAAAAGAAAACAGAGGTCCCTTGTGTGTTGATTCTGGCTTACAGATAAAAAGCTCATGATGTGCCACAGACACTTACGCCTTGTCAGCCCTCCCCTTTGTCATGGTCGTATGCCCCCGGGGTGTGCACAATCTAATTTGTGCTTCAGTTTTATGACTTGAAGTGTTGTACAATATGTGTATCTGTAATTCCTGCATTACTGGTGTCAGTGTTTGGTTGAGAAATTCTAGAGGACAGGGAGCCCACGAGATTAAATTGTTTGTGTGGTGCTCGGAAAGGGCCAGGGTTGAAAGGAATACTTCTGCCAGGCTTGATCTCTCTGAGGACTCAGCTGCTTCTGCTCTCTGTAACGCCCTCCTCCATTTTGAAAAATAACATTTTAACTCTTACTGCAAAAGTGATACATACTCATTTTAGAATATGGGTAAAAAAATACCATGAAGAAACAGTTGCCTCTAGTCCCAGAAATAATTGCTATTAATCTTTGATGTATTTTTCTGTGCATATATGTTTGTGTGTGTGTTTGTGTATACATATATATGCATATATGCAAATATAAATATGTGTATTCTGTTTATACTGCTTTTCAACTTGCTTTTTCACTTAATATATTACTTTTCCTTTTTTAAATAATAGCATTATTGAGATATAATTCATGTACCATAAAATTTACCCTTTTAATATGTACAATTCATTAGCTTTCACAGAATTATGTAACCATCACCACTGTCTAATTCCAGAACATTTTCAGCACCTCAACAAGTAAGCCTGTGCCCAATTATACTTCCGCATTTCCCCTCCCTTTAGCTGCTTGAAACCCCTGATCTACTTTCTGTCAATGGGTTTGCTGTCCTGGACATTTCATATAAATGAAATCATGCAATATATGATCTTGTGGCTGGCTTCTTTCACTTAGCATTTGTTTTCGAAGTTCATCTATGTTA